TGTGCAGACTGTTGATTTTGTGTGAAGCACAAGAAACTAGAGTAACTGATTGATTGACGCATGTTTTTACCAATAATCATGTCATGTTGGTTAAGATTTAAAATGCACTCGAACGTCACTGTGCTTCCCACTAGTTGCACGAGTTGCTGCTGCGTCGGATCAGCTATTAGCAGGCAGATGCGACGGGATCAAAATTGAGAGATTGCATGGGAGTGGAGGTCCAGCTTCACGGAGCGCCTGAAGCACAGCCTGCAACCGTTTGGCATGAATACTTCAACCTGGGCTGGAAGATTTGTGTTTGGGAAGTGGACTCACGTTTTGCTTTTTTCCCAAGGCCACAGGCGGACGGGAGTGGACAGGGACAGCGCTGAGTCTGCTGAAGGCCTCCCTCATACAGGGGATGTTTCAGTGCAGCCCTACTTTGTATTTCACGTATAGCTTCAAAGAGGTTCAATATTTTTTGTCACTCATATCAGAAATGAAACTCACACAGCATATAGATTCGTCACATAGAGTGGAATATCTTAAGCCTTTATTTCTGCTTATGTGGATGATAAAAGCCCCAAATTCAGAGTCTCATATCATTTATATAAATTTATTAATAAAGTGGGATATGATAAGATACATTGTATGTATGAAAATACTGGAAATAATGTATAAAGCAGGGTGTCAAACTCCTTTTGGTTTTGGGCCTAATCGAGATCATGAATGCTCTTAAAGGGCCGGTTGTACCAGAATGTATTGATAAAACCTGATCACAAACTGTTAAAGTATCAATTAATTATTAAAAGTAAATATGATTGAACATTTTTTCAGTTCCTCCAGGATTTTGTGATACTTTTTGTGATTTTTTTCAAAGTGTTTGTGGTATTAACTTGGAAACATTTGATCTTATTTATGGCAGTAAATGCAACGTTTTATATAGATTGTGGATTATAATCTGACATCTATTAAAGGTTGAATCAGCCTTTAATAGAACACATAAAGAACACATAAAGAGGAAAGTAGTGAAATCCAGATTTTGTTTCAGTTATTGGTGTCAAAACTTTTTATTGAGCTGGCAGGTTTTCTGATCTGTCTGCTATTTGGTCACATTAAGAGAAAATGATGTTTTTTCCAATTATCTGTTTAATTTAAACCCAGAAACAAGCTTCTTTCTGTGAAGCTGAATCCTGCCAAATTACAAGGCTGTATTTTCTGATATTTTGTCCTAACTTGACGTTATTGTTTCTGATCGATTTGGACTTTAAATGAGCACAGCAGACTTGCAGTCAGAACAGGCCTGGATGGGCATAACTTCTGCTGTGATCGATCTGACAGCAGCAGCAGTGGGCGGCTGATTGATATTATGCTCCTGGATTTCTTCATGAGGGAGGAAAGTTGATTTACTTCCACTGACTAAATAATAGTCAAAACAGAATATTTGTCTGGTTGAGGACATTCAGACATTATTTGCTCCACATCTGTGTGAGTTTATTTATGGCAAAATTTAGGAGACTTACACCTGGACTGAAACAGCTGGGTGTTTTTACAAGCTGAGAAACCCAAATGAAAGTACAAAAACGTAAATTTTCCATAATAACGTCCCCTTTAAATTTAATCTTAGTAATGTGAAGACAGTCAGAACATAAAAATGTACAAGTAATGGATCTATATTTTTTGTTTTAAATTAGTTTACATCCCATAAAAGGGACATAGTTTTATTCAGTGGCGCTTCACGGCACACATTCAATAAAATGAAAGCAGATTTAAAATGGCAAATAAAAACCTTAAATGGCAACTTGTGGCTTATGTTTCATTTTATTTAAATCATGTTTATTTATATGGAAATATCTGCAACTGGGGTAAAAAATGAAACCATAAAAAGTAGATGCTCATTCTTTGCAGAAGCTGATGAAATACTGTCTGTGTTAATGGGTGGAGTGAGTGAAAGTCCTGTCATTCAGCGACAGCTTCCAGCTCCTCAACAAATTTTGATGATGTCTGCAGCCATGATGTGATAAATTGTATATAACTGCTACGCTTGCAGTTTGAATGGCTGCAGATGAAAGTAATTCAGATCACCTTGGTAGTTATGAAGTTTTTCAGCTTTCTGTCTTTTTGTAACTCGGTTTGTCTCTGCGAGATCGGAAACTTCATGTATGAAAGGGAACAAAGCTGACCTTGAAAAACCCATATTGTGTCTGAAAGAGACGCCCAAACCAGCAGCATCAAATATCATTTTCACTTTGGGCCAAATCAAGATTTGAATGCTCTTAAAGGGCCAGTTGTGCCGGAATGTATTGATGAAACGTGTCAAACTCGAGGTCCGTGGGCCAAATCCGGCCCGCCGTAGCTTCTTATGTGGCCCTCTGGATTCCAGACTAAACACTAAGTGTGTTTAAATTTCATGTTATCAATCAAATCAATGCAGTTTTTATCTGTTTACTGCCAAATTATATCAGTCAGTCCCTCCAGTTTCTGGAGAATTATTGTGGAAATTCATGCAGAATATTTCTCACTGTCCATCATCTGGACAGTGAGAAATAAAAAGTCATATTTACTAACATAAATAAGTACAAATATTTCCAGATTAGTACCACAAACACTTTGATTTTTACTGCAGAAAAAATGAGAAAAAGTATCACAAAATCCTGGATTTAATTTTAAGAATTAATTGATATTTTAACAGTTTGTGATCAGGTTTTATCAGTGCATTCTGGCACAATTGGCCCTTTAAAAGCATTCATGATCTCGATTTGGCTCAAAATGAAAATTAGTTTGACACTGATGATTTAGAATATCAATGAATTCTTAAAATTTAATAATATTATAAAACATCTTTTCAGTCCCTCCAGAATTTTGTGATACTTTTTGTGATTTTTTTGCAATAAAAATCAAAGTTCATTTGGAAATAATTGCACTTATTCATGACTTTAAATGCAACTTTTTATTTACATCATTGACTATAATCTGACATCAATTAAGACTGAGGCAGCTGGTAAGTACAAGTAAGAAAGTTTTTGACAATTTTTGAGAAAAATCTTTAATAAACTCCCAATTATGTATCAGTGCATAAAACGTGCAGGGATTTGTAGGTATTGTGTCAATTTCCACAATAATTCTCAAGAAACTGCAGAACTGAACAGTTTATACTGATATAATTTGGCATTAAATAGATAAAAACTGCATTGATTTGATTAATAACATAATATTTCAGCACATTTTATTGTTTAGTCCAGAATCTAGCTATGGTGGGCCAGATTTGGCCCACGAGCCTGGAGTTTGACACACGTGATGTAAAGCCTCTGGCATCGTCGAGCTTCAGCTGCAGCGGTTAGCCTTTGTAAATCCGGGGTGAAGCTCTGCTCTTCAGTTAGTCTCAACACCGCACCCTTTCTCTCACCTTTCGGTCCGTTATTGGATCGGCAGCTGAGCAGACGTCTGGATCTGCGTCGTCTGTGTCCTTGGGCTTCTTCATCGCACATTCTTCAAGTGCCAATTATAATGCCAGTGGAAGAGCGATCAGAAGCGTGCATGCAACGCTGTGATAAATCCATGTTGTCATCTCTGTGGTGGATTTCATTTGCTGTAGGATTTGTCAGAGAGGAGAGAGCAATGCTCAGATGAAGTACCCGACCCATTCTTTTTTGTTTTGTTTAGCTCTCTCTTTCATTTCAGGAGAGAAATTTTATTTTTTCCTCTGCCTGGACTCCCTGCGTCAGCAGCAGCACCTAAATCTGCCCGGCTGAAATCGAAGCTTCCAATTAAACTCTCATATCCATGCAGAAAGAATAAGATCGCTCTCTCTCTCTCATTCTCTCACCTACTCTTTGCATCATTAATGTTATTTCCTTCCATTCGCAATTACCCTGCCTTGTTAGAAAAACAGACGTGCTTGAGTACAATATGAAATACTAATTAAAGTTTAAATGCAGAACACAGAATTGGGTCCCTGTTGTTGTCTCTCTCAGGATTCTGATCCTTGGCTCTTGCCTTTCCCGACTCGCCCTGCAGCAGATGGCTTTGGTCAGAGGTGGACAGGTAGCAGACACCTGTGCACCGTCCCCCGAGGCACTCGCTGCCACGGAGCTGCAGCTACACCACTCCCAGCGCTTTGAACACCTCCAGCCGTTCTGCTCCCTGCACCACCTTCAACCTCTCCTCCCCTCTGTCCTCTGAGCTGGATCTCATGGGTCGTCTCTCTCTTCCTTCCCAGTGGTTCAGGCCTTCTGGATGGAGCAGATGGCAACAGAGGGCCAGGAGGAGATGACCTGTAACCAGGGAGCCAGACCCGACCCGGTCCACTGCGGTTTTCTGCAGCGAGTGTTGGCATCAAAATGATTAAAATAATCCGCTTTTGGGTTTGTTGTTTAAAAAAAGAACCTATTTCACTGTTTTAGCTGGACGTTACGGCATGAGGTTAGTCCTGAGGACATAAATCATTTAGCACAGTGCTGTCCAAAGTGTGGCTCTGGGCCCACTTGTGGACCATGAAGTGTTTGTTTTTTGGCCACTGAACACAAATCAAGAATGGTGAAGTATTTGGCCAACAAAATAGAAAGCAACTGATGATCTAGAAACATGAAGCTACATTTAGCTTTACATTGTACAAATCTAGAACTCAAACTAGAACAACTTGAACCAACATTTAATTTTATACCTCACTATTAATCCCCAACATTTAGTTTTATCAGAACAAGAATCCAGAGAAACCTCTACTAGTTTATGAATGATCGACTACTTATTCTTACTTAAGATGGGGAACCAATATGTAGTTTTATATTTTTACCTTTTTGTCCTTCTTTTAGTTTTGTTACTGTATTTCCTTCTAATTCATGTAAAGCACTTTGAACTGCCTTGTTGCTGAAAATGTACAATATTAATAAAATTACCTCACCTAATGATCAATAATACAGATTTAAAATAATGTTATTCATTGTTTATCAGGTAAAAGAAAACCAAATCACTACTTTTTTAATTTTGTGGCCTTTTAGGAGTTAAAATGTGAAAGTTTTGTCTCCCAGGACACGTCGTGACGTCACGCTCTCCAGAGCTCCGCCCACTCCGCCATGATGGACCAACGTCTACACGACAGGTGTCTAAAAACAGACACCTGTAGCCTAATATCGCTTCTATTTAGTTGATTTCACTTTTAAAAAAATGTATTTGGGTGCTGTGCGGTCGGCTGCACAAACAAGGAGGCAAAGCTAACATTTTATTTCATTTGATAGCTTTTGACGAGGAAAGACTCGGCGGCTGTGGATGGCGGCCGTCAATCGTAACGACTGGCGTCACCGTGGATTTACAGCGATCACTTTTGACAAGGTAAGACGACTTACGTACATAAACTTTACAAGTACTTATGATTTGAAACAAATCAAATATTTCACGATGGCGAATGGAGCGTCTAACGGTTGGTAACCATGGAGACAGTGCCGCCCCGCCATGTAGCCTAGCATGTGTGGAACAAACTGGTTAGCATCTCGTCTTTAGTGCGTTTTTAATGCCGCTCCGGTTGGAGGGGAAACTTTGTTTATGACATATTAATATAGATAATGTGGTGTGAATTCAGGTGAAGTCGGTAGTTTGATTGACACGCCAGGAGGGAGGAGGTATGGGCCGGTTTCTAAGCCAGCTACTTCTAGTTTTTATTAATCCTGGCGTCCATGAGCTCCAACCAGGTGTGTTAAGATCAAATTAACTCGACTCGAACAAGTAGGAACCACGAATAAACTGGCAAAAACAACTGTAATAAATGTACTTAATACAGACCGTACTGCAAACGTATTAAAATGTAAATTACGTAAAGTTGACTATTTTCAGCTTTACGTCATGTTTTGATGCCATTTGATGTATACCTTCAGCGTTGCTTTGACTCTTCCATGCATGTTTGAGAAGTCCTTTAATCTCTATGGCAACTTCTGTCTCAAGCTAGCTGTCGCCACTCCTTCAGACTAGTGACGGCAGCAGTTAGCAAACACCTGGTGGACATCTACTGAGCTCATCATATAAACGATTTCCAATGCAACACTCCTAAATAGATTGTAAGCAGTTAAAAAAAACAACAATAAAAAAGTTCTTAAAGAGACAGAGGCTTGAGTTCAAGCTGTCAAATTGTTATGTTTGACATATCCAGCATTTTGATAGCAATTGAATGTAACAGTGACTTAATTGTGCTATAAACTGACCCTTTTTGTCACTTTGACCAAGACAAATGTGAATGTCTTATTTTTGTATACAATAAAAAAGGTGGAATACAAAAGAACAAGCAAGTAGATACACAGAGTTTGACTGAGAAAAATTATAAATTAATTGGATACCTTCCGATATATTTTACACAGAACCTTTATGCTTAGCTTTGATTTTATCCAACTTTATTTAGCGCTGAAACTTGCGGTCCATATCCATAAAAAATTTTGCTTATTAAAAGTTAAGTTAAACTTTTAAAACACGATGATGCTTGAACTTTACTTGTGTTTGTTGGGTTACGATTTCACATCCTGTAATTAAAAAATAACTGAACCGTTTCTATGGAAACTTGCAGTTTTATGGGACGAGGTTACATATACAAAGTGTTCCTCCAATTTGCTGAGGTCATGCTCTCGTGTTGTTTTTGATGTTTTAATAGGTGCACAGACTTTACGGAGCCCAAACACAACTTTAAACCTTGTACTTTCTGATTTTATTATTTCTTTCTGCAAGATAAACCTAATTTCCATGCGTGGGTGAGTTAGAGCTCTTTAAGTGAACAAGATGATGGATGTGTTGAACTGAGAGAGATATTGAGTCAAAAATGCATGTGGCCCAAAGGAAAAGCAGGTTAGAGAATAAATGTTTCTTTCCACCTCAGAGTCATTTCAACCCTGATCAGTCCGGCCTCTTCTGCATACCAGCACTGTAAAATAAAAAGGCATTTTGTCTCTATTTGGAGCAGAGAATGAGTTCCAAGGCAGAGGTTTTGAAGCTGATTTATTGTTTTTCTCTAAAATTCATTTAAAATTCATTAATTCCAAGGGGACAAACTTACTGAGCTCAACCCAGTTTCCTTCATTTGCCCGGTGAGTCCAAACGGATTGTTGTTCTCCCCAGACGATCCCCTCTCCGGTTTCTTCCTGTTATTAAATATTCAAATCTCCACCGCAATCACTCTGTTTAGTAAACACTCAGGGGAACACACAGAGACTATTAACGCTGAGACGATTGCGAGGTTTGTTTTTGTTTAGTTTTGTTCGCTGGTGTGACAGAGATGCTAATTGCTGAAGGATTGTCGGTTAATTGTTTTTTACTGTCTCAAAACTGTTCTCACTACTAAACTAGAAGTTTTTTTTATTATTGTTTCCTCTATCATAGATTTATATATTATAATGATGCAAGTTTGCATCTTATGTAACTATTTCTTTGTATCAGGTTCAGACTTCAAAACAGGCACATGTGTCCATCTTTATACCCTTAAATATTCAATAAAATACAAAAACAAAACCTAAACTAACTACAGATCAATAGTTCCCAATGAACAGTTAACAATTGTAAAATTTAACATAACTGTAATGAAAAACATTAATTATAAGTTAAAAAATATATACAGAGTTACACATGAAACCCCAGTATATAATTTAATTAGTATAAATGTTAATGTTATAATACTCAAAACATAGAAATGGTAATAAAGGAAGAAATCTTGAGATTAATCTCAGAAATTAGATTTTTGAGAAAAAAGTTGAAATTCAACAAGTTGAGAAAAATCTCAGAAATGTTGAAATTACTCGCAAATTTTTCTAGAAAGGTTTTGGATATTTCTGAGCTCTGAAAGTCAAAAATATGTGGGGGGAAAAAAATAAATAAATTTTGAGATTAATCTTGGAAAATTACTGTCAGTTGCTGGTTGCTGTTGTAACCGCCAACCGTCAAGAACATAACTTATAACTTATTAACTTATACACCAGAAAATGTCAGGAGAAATTAAGTTCACGACCAAACAAAATTAAGCAGAAGAATAAATTGACCAATTTTGACAAATGTTACATTTATAATAATCCATGTTACATATGTCTAATCTCAGAATGAGTATTTTCTGATCCTTTACTCTTCGCCCTCTGTCAGATTATATAAAGGAGTGTTGGATTGATCTACTTGTTGAGTTCATTTGTCAGTCCTGTCCATTCTGAGGGCTCCTCATATTTTTTATATCATTTTTTTTAATGTAACAGAACGTTTCCCATCTGATCTCAAACGCTGTGCTGTTTTCTAATAAGCACCGCAGTAATTTCTGTTTGTTGCTAATGGTGGCACATGCTGCCATCCTGGGAACTCCAGCTGTGCGCAGGCAAGGACGGGCATCTCTTCCCTTCGCCACAACACGCTCTCCGCGTGCAGACCGCCACCTGGGGAGCATGCATGCCTGACCTGGAGGTGATGCTAATGGGGGATTTTAACTACATTTCCCTCCTTCATCCTTTCCTCACCTCATCCTCTCCCTCTGCTGCTGCAGATATGAGCCCAGAGCAAACACAGGGCACTCTCATTAAGCGACTGGTATTAAATTCGCTGTTATTAGAGAGGCCTGCTTTCATTTCACTGGCACAGCAAACCACAGAGACCCACAAGAGATTCAGACTGAAGGCTGAATTACTCTCAAACGTCCAGGTTTGTTTGAGGATTTGTATTTTTGAGTCCGATACACAAAGAGCGTTGAGGAAAAATGTTGCATCTATTGCTGCTTTGCTTTTGTGTTGCTGTCGAGAAGCAAAGCGTTTTATATTGTAAATTTGTCTTGGTTTGCATTTTCTCAGGCTTTCTGAAGGTTTTTTCCGTTTTTCTTTTGGACTTATGCAGATTTTCATTTCTGAAGCATGAATTTTACCTTTTCAGGGAGTGATAAGTTACACTGTTGAAGAAGCAAATGAGATCCAACGCTAAAGTATTTCTCTTGTTTCTAGAGGAAATATCTTAGTACACTTGAAATAGGACAAAACTAACTTACAAGTAACTTTTCAGCAAGATATAAGAGCTTTTTTAAGTAAAAAACCCCCCCAAAAAGTGACATTAATGAGAAAGTGCTCATTTTACTGGCAACTTTTTTTCCTTAAAACAATACATTTTCACATTGTATAGTAAAATAATCTAAGGCAAAACTTCCTAATAGCAGTCTTTTTATACTTAACACAAGTTGAACATTTCTGAGTAACAACTCCATAATTTTTTAGATTAATTTAAACTTAAAAAAAAAAAAAGATTTAATCAAAATTTCTGAATTTCAAATTTTTTTTCTAACAAATTTGTAACTTGGATCTCAGAAATCTCCTTTTTTTTCTTTCTTTTTTAGAAAAAGCTGACTGGGAAATTTCTAATATCCAAAAGTCGCAAATTTGCGAGAAAAGAAAACAGAAATATTAAGACTAACCTCAGAAATGTCCACTTGTTTTTTTTTCTTTAGAATTTTTCTGGTTTTGTTCCAACAGAAAAAAAGTGTTTGTCCTTCTTCTATGAATTCTGCTTATCTGGGAAGAACTGACATTAATTGGTTCTTATCAAATTAAATTTATTCTGCAGTAATCTGTTTCCACTTTGCTGCATTGATTTTCGAAATGATAAAAACAAAACACGCTGCAAAAACAAGTCACACATTTGCAAGAAAAGAAAACTCAGAAAATTTGAGATTAATCTCAGCCTAATATAAGTTCTAAAAAAGCTTCAACAGTCTGTTTAATTCCCTGATGTCAACATGAAAGTCTCTTAGACTTTTATGACCTATTTCAATCTAAGAGGGAATATCAGGATGGGAGAAAGGGAGGAGAGAAATTAAAGCTGTACGGTTATAAACCACCAGAGTCTGCCAGCTTTCATAAGGCGGGACAAAGGGCCTTTTTGGGTCCCACACATCCTTTCATTTTCTTCTTGCAGAAATTCTAGATCGCCACAAAAGTGGGGTTTTCTTTCACCCGTCTCTTTTGCTTAGAGACATGTGGACACTGAGGACAGCACGGCTTCTGTCAGCTAGCGGCAGCCATTTTTAGTGTGGTCTCCTGCTCTGGGTTTGGTTCAATTCTCCATCTTGGACTTAGAAATGGTTTGTTAAAGCAGAAATAACAGACTTAGAAAGTTATTCAGACTCCTACAGAAGATCTTTCCTGCCAACAGCCGTTATTATCTTCAATATTACCTTCAATTAAATTAATTACAACAATATTTAATTTCCCTTTGGGACCTATAAAGTGTCTTTGAATTTTAGAATTGGAGAGATTTCAAAAAGAAAAAAGTTTAAGACGTTGGCGTTTAAACAGAGTCAAGTCAGTGTTTTGTCTTTGTTTCTTGAATATGTTATTTTTAGATATTAGAAAATTACGGAAAAGGATTTGGACCACTGGGGAAAAATAACTTAGTCGTTAATTTCATAATTCAGATTGTTTTTCATGGAATTCAGACTTCAAAATTATAATTCTGATTTTGATCTCTAAATTTTGACTTTAATCTCTAAATTTTGTCCTTTTTTTCTCAGAATTTTGACATCATTTTCAAAATTCAGATTTTTTTCTCAAAATTCTGACTTTATTCTCAGTATCTAAGCATTCGGTCTCAAAAGATTAGGTCAAAATTTTGAGAAAAAAAAGTTCAATTCTGAGAATCAGCCCAGATTTTCTTTTCAGTGGCCATTTTGCTCTTGTGTTGCACAACATGGCGTTATGTTGAGGTAAAATGTTTGTACTAAAGAAACTGCGAAACAATTTTTCACAACCACTTAAAAGACTGTAAGAAAGTCTAAGGAGTTGTGGTAGAGATTTAAACTTTTTGCACTGTGCTGTCTGTGCCTACTGCACCAGTCAGCACAGTTTAACATTTACACAGCAAAACAAACGGGCAGAAAGCATTGCGATGATGGCAGGGTTCCCTGCATGCTGTGATCCGCCAGAGAGGGTGGCCATTTTTCATATTACTGCTCACCCCCTGTCTGACATGTCAAAGAAGGACACGATCAATACGCGTACAGCAGCCAGGCCTCGGCAAAATCAATGGCGCTTATTTGATCAAAGACTGCTTCCCCAAGCCACGGGCAGAGCGTTCATGAATACCCTTCTAATGTGTGGCGGCAGGTTGTGTTGCGTCTGGAGTAAGTGCGCCATCGCCGCCGCCATCCCTCTGCCTGCAGAAAGCGCTCCTGTCAGCGGCCCCTCGGGGCACAGCGAGCTGAGTGACGGCGAGCAAACCGAAGTGGCTGTGACAAGGGAACTGGCATCAAATTCCCTGACAGCTACCTCCACAACTTCCTCTGATAAAACCATGTCACACACATAAGGAGATTACCGAGTGGATTTAGTGAATGTAAAATGTGAGTGAGCGCTCAGTGATACACGATCCTTTTCTGCCTTTACCTCACGAGGAGCCCGCCTGTGTGACACGCTGCTATCTGCTGTAGATATTTGGTTCTAGTTTTATAAGTAAGAAGTAAGTTCAGGTTGCAACCTGACAGAGAGTCAAGTTAAATTTACTGGGTAGAGCACATAAAGTTATACTAGCTTGACTTCAACATATTTCCATTAGAGTATAAGTAAAAAGTAGCCATCCAAGAAAGTACACAAAAGAAAAGTATTTGTAATCTTTTTGGTTTAAACACGTTTGTTTTTCATTCAGTGTGTAAAAAATCCAGAAATTTTACTAAAGTAAGAGTAGATATACTTCATAATCAAAATACTGTTGTAAAAGTAAAAAGTACAGCGCAGTAAAAATCCTCCTAATAGTACTCAAGTCAATGTAATTGAGTAAATGTAGTTAATTACTACCAAATGTGCTTTTTGCTAAGGCAGTTTAACGAGCTTCACATCATAAATCGGAGTCGCCAATTATGAAAACAACCAATAAACTCCATCAAAATCATCAAATATGTTGATCAGTTATTATCAATCAAACAGGTGGGTTTATAGTCTTAATTGAAAGGATCTCAATGTTTCGGCTGTTTTGCATTTTTCTGGAAGTTTGTTCCAGATTTGAGGTTGAATGCTGTTTCTCAATGTCTCTGAGCTCCAGGGACCCAGCGTTCGGACGTTAAGGCCGGTCGATGTGCTGCGTCTTCCTGGTTTTAGTCAAAACGCCAGCAGCAGCATTTTGGAAGGGCTACACTGTTACAGTAATCAATGCGACTAAAGATAAACGCATGGATGAGTTTCTCTAGATCTCACTGAGTCATTAACCATGGAAATGTTCTTCAGGTGATAGAAGGCCAACTTTGTAACTGTGTTTATGTGGCTGTGAAGGTTCAGGTCAGAGTGAAAAAGTCTCCAAGTGGAATAAATAATTTTTATTGATTTATTGATATGTATGACTCATAGACTTAAAACAAGCTTGTATATCCTGCTGACGGCGGGATATACAAGCATCACGATATTTGTGATAGAAACTAAACAGAAACACTTTGTTTCTTTGTTTTTGCAGTGTGTGCTTGTATAGTGAATGCTAAATAGTGGGTTAACAGTTTTGGTTGGAACCTGACAGAGTGAAAGAAATCGTCCTCAAAGATGTAAAGCCATCATTAGAGAGAAGAGGGCTTCCTTTAACCCTGTGTGTTTGTCCTGTTTGTTTAAGTTGCAGGCGGGCGGCGGGTTTTTTCACGGTGGCAGACCCTTCTGTTGGCGCCGTAAAGCACAGCGGTGTGTTCAGCTGTGACTGGGACTCATTAGATGAGGAGAATGTCCGTCATGGTGCCTGGCTGTCTGCGTGTTGGTCATCCAGCAGGGGACTGAGGAAGAAAGGGTACAGGCTGAGTTTTCCTCCTCATCCTGGCTCTGTCGTCCTTTTTTTGCTTCCTTCTTTGCCCCGCTGCTTTCTCTCTCTGTCTCTCTTTCTTCCATCCTTCTTTTCCTCCCCTCTTGCATCTCTCAACGGGGGTTCATCTCTTGTGATTCACTGAAGCCCATTATCAGTTCCCTGCCAACCTACATCCCCAGCTAGCCTCTCAGCAACAACACACAACTACTCGATCAAAACCCCAAGAGGCTTGGCAGCATGATTGATGCTTACCAAGGAATTCATTGTTGTTGACCTGTGTAGCCAATCCCAGTCATCTGTGCTGCCATTACTGCATGTCTTATGTGGTGTTGCACTGCGGTGCTGTTAGCCAGGCATCATTCTTGCTCCATTCCAAACAACCTTCAGAAATAAAAGAATCTGCCAGGTGTGCTGGACAAATATGACAAACAAACCTGACATTCTCTTATTCATACGTGTGTGAAGCCATTTCAAATCCGCTGTGATAGCAACACACTGCAGCCGTTAGCAGTGAGCAGCGTCCGAATCAAAACCAATTTGCACTTACTGCATGTTAAAGCTCACAAACATCAATGACAAATCAGACTTTGATATAAACAAAATTCAAAATATGGAAACATGAGATCTGTTTGTGCTCATTTCTAAGGTGTAGATGTGCCAACAACATGGCTGTCATGTCTTCATATGACAACTGTACAGTCCCTGAAATACAAAATGCGTAAAACAACGAACCTTCATGAGAATTATGAGTTTTGTACGACATATTATGGTGCATCACGAACAAATGCGCTACGAACGTCAGGCGTGTCAGGTTTATGTTCAAAGTTTACGTGGAGGCACGTCGAGGGTGTCAAGTGCTGCACGATTTAAAGCGTTTCGAGCTAAATCTAAGCTCTCAACGATTGACGTAGAGCAGTGCTTCTCAAATAGTGGGGCGCGCCCCCTTTGGGGGGCGTGTGATCCTGGGGAACAGGCTTTTTTTTGGCCGTACTAGTATAAAGTGTAATTGCGCACAGTAGGCGGCAGTGGCGCTCTCATTGTTACTTCTGTCACGTTTGCGACAGTGCAACATTTTATGACTTACAAGACAACAGGTTTGCCTTGGTTAGCAGTGTTACGTCAACAAAGAGCTCCGACTGCGTTCTGTCTATGGCTTCCGTTATTCAACAACCCCCAACATGAAAAGTTTTTCACAGGGATGAAAAGAAAAGCGGAGAGAGACAAAGATAATGAGACAACAGAAAGTCAACCGAAAGCTAAGAAGAGGAAATACGACGAAGCGTATTTAGCGCTTGGCTTCACTGTGACTACAGTTGGAGAAGAGGAAAGACCGGTGTGTTTGCTGTGTCTAAAAATGCTCGCAGCGGACAGCATGAAGCCAAATAAATTAGCGCGTCACTTAAATACGTTACATCCCAATCACGCCGATAAGCCGCTAGAGTTTTTTCAGCGAAAAAATGTTAATAAGGAAAAAATGTTATGCAGAGATGGATAGTCACGGTGGGGAATGGGTGCGCGAATAGTTTTCTTCTTGCTAGGGGGGGCGTAACGGAAAATAATTGAGAAGCACTGACGTAGAGCATCAACAAGCACATAGTGGAGCACTTTCCAATGTGATCTCCGAAGAAAGAAAAACTATGTAGGATAAACTAATTTTTGCTGTTTGCTCTCATTCTAGAAAGGACCTCACTTGGAAGAGGATCAGCGAGGAAGATGAAATGTCAGGTGACTTATGACTTTTTTAATATTTCTCCCACATTTGAGCTATTCAAATCCCAAACATCAATCACAAATATTAAGCCACTGTAAGTAAATGTGTTTATTTAGACCAAACATGCAGGAGACGGTGTGAGGAACACGTAGTCTGATTTTTCAGTTCTTTTTGATTTTTCAGTTCTTTTATGATTTTCTCCTTCTGGAATCAGTTTTCTTTCTGACACATTTTCATTCAGAAGACAGTGAAGTTTCCCCTTAGAGTGCTTCAGTGTCAAATCTTCATCCATGTGTGGAGCGGCTCGTTCTGGACTACTTTCTAAACTCTGTTTATTGTTTACTCCCCCTTTCCCTTTCTCTTTCACAAGTGTCTTTTCATTTGTTGGACTTTCCTTGAAGAGAATGGTTCCTAGATTTTTTTTTTTTTAGCTCTCTTGTCCTTTTTGTCCTGAACGTACTTAGAGACAAACACAACAAAGAGATGCATTGGGCGCATTGACACATGAGAGTTGGCGTTTGATGGGCTCAGGCCTCTGTGGCTCTGAAATGAGAACGACATCGCTCATTTTCAACCTCCAATTGCTTCGCTCTCACGTCTGACCCGCCTGGTTTAACGGCCTGACCCTGCAGTTTATCAGCGGCGCTCTCACACATGAAAACAAGTGTTGATTAAACAACCAACATAAATGTTCAAAGACATAGTTACAGAGATGGATTTGATCCAAATGCATTGACAGCTTTGCTACTTCACAGAGAATTAGGGCTCATAATTCTGAGAATAAAGTCAAAATTCTGAGAAAAAAAGTTAGAATTCTGAAAAAAGTCAATTTTGAGATTAAAGTCAAAATTCTGATATTTAAGTCAAAATGTGAGAATGCTGAGGAAAAAGTCAAAACTTTGACCTTTGAAGTAAGAAATGTAAAATTAAAGTTGGATATTTTTTTGCAGTGTTCCTAATCTTCTTCTGTGGTTAGTAAACGTTACTGAAGCAGCCATGTCTAACTTGACCACATCTCCATGGCAACAGATTCGCAGTGACCACTGAAGGTATAATTGATACCCAGGTGGTTCGGCGATGAATCGGCTGAACTGTGGAGGCTTTCAGTCTCCTGAGCGCAGCCGAGTTTCATCGAGTCCCTCCGTCTCCGTACCTTCTGTCAGATTGCCCTGTGGAAACGGCGGCCCTGCTCATATAACTTCATTACTTTTTAATGCAGCTATAATTACTCCAGCATGTTGTAATTGGACAGAGATATGAGAACAATAAAGGATGTCAGGACAGAGAACAGGATTTTAATTGTGGGTTAATGATATTTATTTTGCAGCATGGCTCTCTCTCTCTCTCTGAGTCACAGCTCAGACGTGTGGGCTAAGTATTGGATCTCCTGGGAGTGGGGAAGGGGGCTTTTTTTTGTTTTTTCCTGGTGAGCTGAAGAGATGCTTTCTCCCCTCTTGCTCTGGTTTTATCATAGAGAGGCAGCACATTAACCTCAGATCTGATTAAGGGCTGTAACAGAGCCAGGTCTCACCGCGGCCAAGCTCCTCTGGACTCAGATTAGACCTGACCCATGACCGCCATGTCAGTAACACATAATGAACTTAGCTTTATCATCCCAATTTGTCTCCCTGTGGGTAAGAAAAAAAGAAGTGGCAGCAGGAACGCCGTGTTACGTCGATCGGATGGGAAACCTGGAGGGTTAATGTTCAGATAAGAATCACATTGCTTTATCAGGTCTCACAGCAAGAAAAGCAGCTATTAATTTACAAATGGAGTAGATTAAATATGCCTCGAAGTGTTGCAGTGTCATGTAGCCTAGCATGTATGGAAAAAAATGGTTAGTATCTCTCGTTAGCATCTCGTCTTTGCTACGTTTTAATGCTGCTCCTGTGTAAAGGGAAGCTGTTCATGACACAGTGATATCAATCATGTGTTGTGAATTCAGGCAAAGTCGGTAATTTGATCAACACGTCAGGAGGGAGGAGGTTTGGGTCAGTTCTAAGCTAGCTTGTTCAAACTTTTGTAAACACACAGAACAAAAAGAAACCATGGATAAACTGACAAAAACAACTTTGGAAAACAATTTCAGTTGCTCTGTCCCTCACTTCCGACATCCATCATGACGCCTCGAATAATTTAGTGACATAGTTGTGAAGGCTTAGTATGTGCTGTACAATGGCTGCTGGAAAATACAAGTGTTTTGTTGTTGACTTCCCATTCAGAAACCCCTTGCTGCATTCTTGTTGGTTGTGCAGGTGTCACTACTAATGCTTTTCAAAGCACATCTGTTTGCCTTTTCACAGGCGAATATGTAAACGTAAACGTTGAGTTGGGGGACATGGCCAGCAGCAGCTTATTTGGATTTGAAGTGACAGGGGCCCTAAAACATCTCATTCTGAAAGGAGCTCAGGCTAAAATCTCATTATCCAGGAATGATTTTGTGCAAAAAATTGAATGAACATCCTTTGTCACGCCGTTAAACCTATCCTCACCTGTTCAAAGTGACATAAGCAGTCGCCTTTAACATGTATTATTATCTAAAATTGTTAATGAAATAATGAAAAGCCGTGGCGGGCCGAATTTGACCCCCGGCCCTTGTGTTTGACACGTGATGTAGAAGATCTACATCTGTACTTTGATTGTTAACAAGCAGAATAGTTAATTTATTCACTATGACATTAAAAGTGTTATAACAGAAAGAAGAAAGTTTGCTGCCCAACTTGATTCCCCCTCTGACCAAAATGAAGACGTCACACCTTGTTATGAGCTGCTAAGGATTGACGGGCAAATTATACACCTCCATTAATGAGCAAAGGGATTAACAAAAACGGGGAAACAAAAGAGCGATAAGAGGCGGGAGGGGAGTATCGCATCACAATCAATTACTGTGTTCGTCCACCTGCGGTTTGCATACGCCGCTGATGAGGAAGGGATTATCAGGCAACGAGAGAAAAGATGAGATGAGTACAACCAACAGATTAATATCCTGCCACTGCAGCCAAGGGAGAGATTAATTTCCTTCTTACTTCCACTTAAGAGACGGCGCATGCGTCTCAGCGGCCGTTCGCTTTAATAGAGAGAAGAAGTATGTGTGATCTGTTGTGCTGTCTGCCGGTTTGATGGCAAGAACAATGAATGCCATTGGTCAGCTAGTGAACTTAAAGCAAGTCCATTGCGGCGCCCTTTGCCCCCTGTCTGTGTGTGTGTGTGTGTTGAGCCAAGGTGTGATTGATTGGACCTCTGAGTGATTGTGCCACCGAGAGGCAGAGTAACGAACCGAAGTGCGGGCTTTTGCTGAGATTGAAGCATGCGAGGGGAGTGGGTGTGCAGCGTGACACGCTCCTTTAGATTTAATTTGATTAAATGAGAGTGCTGCCACTGTAACCAATGAGAAAAATAATCATACGCATATTTCTGCAACATTAGGCTGATAAAAAGACAGCATCACAGAGAATGCATGCTGAAAGTAACATAAAATAAAATTAAAAACTAGCTCCAGATTTCAATTTATTTAGTAGAAGCTAAAACATGCACTACTAAGCCAACATTCTGGGTTACTGGTATAGAAACATTCGCCTTTTAAAGTGACATGCTAGAAACAAAACATATTTATAATTTTTTTTTTGCACAAAATTATTATTTTGAGCTCCTTTCAGAATGAGCTGTTTTAGAGTGTCTTGTCACTTTAAATCCGAATAACCTGCAGCTGGCCACGCCCTGAACTCAACACTCTCGCACAAGAAAATGGCTGCAAACAGATGCGCAGTTATAAAAATGGACACTATTGAAAAGCATTAGTAGAGCTTCCTGCACACCCAGCAACAATGTAGCAAGTGGTTTCTGGACAAGAAGTCAACAACAAAACGGTTGTCTTTTCCAGCAGTGGTAAAACCAGCTGACCAAATGTGCTGGAATCTTGATTTGGTTGATATTCAGTGTTTTACTGGTGATCCACTTCAAACCAACCAAGACAAGTGAGGAAAAATGAACTAAAACAGATAAATGAAAAGCAACACGGAGTGTGTAGAAAGTAGATTTAGGCAGTTTGTCCTTTTAAATTTCACCAAAAACCGTTTGCATATGACTATTTGTATAGCATATTATCAGTGTTGGCTGAGAGATGCAGAAATCTGTGCTGGATCTGTTGATATTTGCTGTGGGTTTTGGTATTGTTCCAGTTGGAAAGCCACTCCACACGATTCCGGAGCGGTGTCATTAGCTTCCTGCTGCTGTAAATCTTCCTCCTTATTAGGAACGCAGAAGCTCAATACGTGGAAATACAGCCACTCACCAACACTCTATCAAACCGCCGGCTCATCGATCGGCTGCTCTGCTCTCGTTCACCTGGGCTCAGATGGATTGACCCCAGAGTGTCAGTCAGTTGCGTGAGTCAGACTCTTCGGTTTCCTCCTTCTTACAGTCACTTCCTGCGGCGAAGCCTCTGCTCAAATGTCAAAGTAAATGAGCTGGCCAGGATGTGCTGGCCACTTTCTTCCATGCGTTGCGTTTCTGCAGTTTCCAACACACAGACACGCATTTACACACACCTCCTCCATCATCTTCCCTCCCAGGGGGCTTGGAGGTCATTTGCTCGCTTTAAGGTGTAATTAAAGGCCTGTTAATTATTTAGTTTTCCCCAGGGGGTGAAGCCATTCTCGGCCTTCAGTTTGAACAGCTTCTGCCCAGAGTTGAGAGCCAAAGAAAGTTTGACGCAAATCTCCACAGACTCCACATGAAAGCAACGCTGTATGTCTGAAATTCTGTGTTCTTGGCTGTTTAGTTTTAATTACTTTCCAGTGTCATTAAGTATGGTTTTTGTAAAGTTTTCATTCCTTTGTTGAAACATCGCAGACACAAACATGTGGCGGAGAGTAAGGTCACACACAGCTTGGTGCAGCAGACAAAGTTAGTCAGTTTACTAAAACAGCTTCTGGTGGAGACTTTTTCTAAAGTAGCGATTATATTTTGATGAGATCAAGTTTGGTTGCACATTCAGCATTTTAAAGAGGCAGTGTTAAGTAAAATTGAGCTTTACATCATGTCACAATGTTTTCTGATCAAAACAGACATGGAGAGTTTCCTTTAGTGTTTAAAGTATGTTTAAGAAGTTATTTAATGTCCATGGCAACCATTCAGCTGTCCAAAACGCGTGGCTGAACCTAGCTCCGCCTGTGAGTTCCTCCTTAGAGTTCCTCCTCTCAGCTCCTTCAGACTAGCCAGAAGCAATTAGCAAACACCTGGTGTAACTGCGGTTCAGTAAAGCTCGTTATATGAGTTAACTCTGTGAAATGTTTTAGGGGAGTGGTGCCCGAAGTCGGCCCTCGAGGGCCGGCATTCTGCATGTTTTAGTTCTCTCCCAAGTGGTAGTAACAACCTTCTCAGCATGTCAATATTCTCCTTAAGCCTTCTAATGAACCATCATTGGATCCAGGAAGAGAACTAAAACATGCTGGATGCCGGCCCTCAAGAACCGACTTTGGGCACCACTGCTTAAAGGTTTAAGGCTGTAATGATTCCTCAATTGATTCAAGGATCTTGATTATTAAAATTCCTCGAGGGAACCTGCTTCGAAGCTTCATTAAATTGTGTTTTATTATTTAGCGCACCATGTTTCCCGTCCGCCTCTGAATTGCTAAGTGTTCACAGCATAACATCTGTTTCATATTTTTATATGATATTTGTCCAGATTAATTTAAAAATTCAGCCATTATTCTTAGAGAAGTAATTGCTAGGAATGCACAAATGTGAAAATTTGAGCCGATGTTGAAATCTGATAGTAACTCTGCTGTTACAGTCGAATTTACCAATATTTAATGAAATTTTTCATCTGATTACTCAATTAATCATAAGAATAATTGATGTGATACTTGATTATTAAAATAATAATTAACAACAGCCCTGAAAGGGTTAATAGAGGAGCCATGATGACTTCCTGAAAGAGCAGGAGCTTCTTAAAGAGGCAGATGCCCAATTTTATAGCGCTACATTACAAAACCAAATTTCTTTTAGGTCATATTCAACATGTTGGTCAATTGTGCTACTATTGCTGCTCCTCTAACTGAATAAATGGATATTAAATAAAACGTTTTGGCACTGGAGCAAGATAACTGGCCAAAGTTTAAGCCATGCATGCTGGAACAACATGCAGCAGGTGAGTTTGTGTGCTGCTGATCCCCAGAGATCCTAACAGAGCGACAGAAGGTCTGATGAGACTCTTGGAAGCCATTTGGTGTAAAATTCGTATCCTGTTCTATTGCACTCAGCCCCA